GAGGAGGATGAGGGGTGGAGGATAAACCACAACTTATATTAAGTGTTGAGAAAAATGAGAAACCACTGCTCTGGGCAACCTCATTATTCTGGTTCAAAAGGAATCGAGGTGTCAAAAGAGATAAATAGATTTGGGGGCTGATACGGGGGGGCTCTGGTTGTAACTCTGGAGCATTACTCTCACTTCCCACCTGCTTAAAGATCCTAGCTACAACTGCCCAGGGATGAAGACTACAACGAGATTCAGATCTTCTCAACAATGGAAGCAGCCACAGAGCCTCACGACTCCCAAATTCTACTCGAAGATGCAGCCAGAACAATACCTTTCCCTGTTATCCGGAGAAGAGGCAGTCGATGAAGAAGCCCCTCGCTTTCTGTGGTGCTTTTCCTTCTCCTTCTTCTTTTCTTTCTTGTGTTTCTTCTCCTTCTTCTTCTTCTTCTTCTTCCTCTTCTCCTTTTTAGATTTCTTGCTGACCTCGCTCCTGCCGTGTTAATCAAGAACCCTTTGGAAACTCTGTTCTCTTTCGCTTCCCCTTCTGTTCCACCCAAGGTCTCCCCCCAAAATGTTGCCCCACGTGGGGTTAGGCTCATGCAAATTCACAGGCAACAATATGATACAGTCCTGATAGGACTGGAGGGAAGCAGGGACTGTCTCATCAAACAAGATAGAAACTAGCCCAACCTTAAGAAGTCCACACATCTTAAAGTTGCTGAGATTGAGAAACACTGCTCTATGCCCACTGTGCCCCACATCTCTGGGCAACCTCATTATTCTGGTTCAAAAGGAATCCAGGTGTCAAAAGAGATAAATAGATTTGGAGGCTGATATGGGGGGACTCTGGTTGTAACTCTGGAGCATTACTCTCACTTCCCACCTGACATTAAGAAAGATTCCGATAGGGGAGCCTTTTCCAATGAAAATGTTCATCATCTTGTGCCCTGCTGGTGATATGATGGAGAAAGGGATCAGGAAACCCACCACTTCTCCTTCTCTGCACTCGACAGAAAAAGATTTACATGGAAATTCCCTGCTTGCTTGGGCCCTGTAATGGTATGTGAGAAAGACCTTAGGAGACTGGGTGAAGAGATGCTGCATAGGGAACAATCCGATAAGAGAGGGCATAGCCCGCAGCTGGATAACAGGTGGAGAAAGAGGCTCAGAAGGGATCCTCCCTAACTTATCAGGCTGTAAAAGAGACGCTGGGAGATTTGTACTTTCAGACTTGCAAGATTCTGCCAATGTAGCTTTACAATAAAGTAGAAATAGCTCATCTGGTTGTGGTTCCTCTCTGGCTTACCCCGCAAGGCCAACATCAATCTTGCAAATATGAAAGTACAATTCTCCTGCCGTCACCTTTACAGCCCACAAAACTAGGGAGGGTCCCTTCTGAGCCTCTTGCCCCACCCACTAACTGTGGGCTACGCTGTCTCTTACCTGACCGTTCCCTCAGTAGCATCATTTCACTCCAACTCCCACGGTCTTTCCCGCATACTATTACAGGCCCATTACCTGTTTGCCCCAAGTTGCTCTACCTTCAACATCCTTTTTACAACACCTTCTCCTCTTATTTGCTCACCCTTCCATGCATTTTTCCCAACCTGTACCCCAAACAATTCCCATCATCCTCAGCCAGCACAGACTCTGGATGGCCTGTTGGCAGGCAACGTGGCTTGTAGACCAGCCCATCTGAAGGATGTGAGCATGGAGAGAGCTGCCTTAAGTGTGTTGGGGTTTCGTTCACTAGACCTCTTCCTTTCAGAGAACAGGCCACCTTCTCCCAACCTTCTACAACGGAGAAGTCTGATTCAGGCTATCTTTCTGTTCTGCCTTCTTGGGGATCCTCCTTGTTCCTGGAGATCCATCCCTCTGTGCCAGAGTTAGCAACCAACACAATCGTCCTCTGCAGCCCCAGGAGAAGAAGAAGGACAGCATAAATCAAGAGGGTCCTTACTCAAACCTTTCCACGTTGTTTTTCTCATCCAGCTTCTCTGGAGGAGCTGATGGCTCTGGACTCTTGGCCACGGGATGATGCTGAGGTTTCAGAGGCAAAACAGAAGCGGGGGGGGGGGACACCCAACATGTGTTAGGAAAACAGAAAGCTAAAGCTGGATCAGCCACAGAGCCGTGCAGCAATGCAACTTACTGTAAACACGGAAAGACCCAGCTTGGCTGCTGCTTTATCTTCTTTGGAAAACATCATTCTTCCCCCAGCGTTCCTGAAAAGTTAAAATGGAATTAAATCACAACAAGGGCTTAATTTTGCTTTTGGGTCCATCCCGTAAAGAGAATGTTGTTTTCCTTAAACCAGTGTTTGGCGCCACCCATCACGCCCACCCTAAACGAGGGGGGTCACAACACACTCTCCCAACCCCACGCCCCCCCGCCGCTGGCCTGTGGCAGGATGTGG